CCACCCCGCCTCTGGCCTCCCACTCGCCCCGCTGTCCTCCGGACCTCTGCCTGGGAGGCCCCACCCCTCCCTTGCCCTGACTGGCATTCTCGTTTTCACTGAATTTTATTCATTGTTCAATCACTTGGGACAAAAATGAAACGGATCATCACCCTAGGCTCCTAAGCCAGCAACTCTTACCTGTATTATTTAGCAGGTTAAATTCTCTTTTTTTAAAGGTATTTTCTTTTTTTAATGCTATTTTACACTTTCTTATTTGCATTTACTTGTACGGCTCTGTTGGGCATATTGTGGATTTTCAAAGCACACGCACACTGTGAGACAGTCGAAGGTAAAGCGCCTTCCTCACTTTCAACAGAGGAACCCAGTATGTGACTTGGCTTTGCTCTGGTCATCTCCCTCCCTGTCTCTCCCCCGGCCCCGTCTTCCTAACTGCTCCCCCCCTGCCAGTGCCCTCCTCAGACCACAGCCCATGAAGGCAGAGGCCCCGGCTCCCTCGTCCACCGTCTCCTGAGCACGACTCCGACGACGACGAAGCCATCCTGCAGGCTACGTGGCAGGAGGGGCAGCAGGTCCCTGCAGGAGCGCGGGGCTGCAGCCTGGCCCTCCCGGGCATGGCCGCCTTTGCTCCCAGGGGCGCGGCAAGGTCAGCCCAGGACTGGCTCAGCGACTCGCGGACTCCACAGGGGGCGGGCGGGGAGGACACGGGAGGGGGACTTCTTGAGGGCGGGGACGGGGACGTGGCCCGGACAGGGCGGGGCGGGGTGGTGACGGGGACGTGGCACACACAGCAGACCCTACTGTAACGCACGAGCTTTGTCCAGCGGTCTGAGAACCACAGCGACCACAGAAGCCTCTCCGTGAGACAGAGATGGCCCGTTTTGACAGAGGGAGAACGGCTTTTGTCACTTTCTGTATTTACGAGCTTCTCACAATCTCAGAGGTTTCCTTCAGAAGGCTGACAGGCTGATGACTGATGGCCTCGGGAAACGTCAACCCTAAGGTTAGGAACGTCCTCCCTGGCTCCTCATGCCCACTCGGTCCCCAGGGGCTCATAGACGGCGTCCTGCCCGCCCACACCTGAGCGAGAGCGGAGGAGCCCCAAGTCGGCGACCGGCCATCGACCCGAAACTCAGTCGTCGGTACGAGTGTGCACCCGGAGAAGGGCCGAGGGGACCGCACACACGTCCCTGAGGGCGCCTGGACAAGGGACATTCGAACAGATGCCGGGGCACTGCCGCAGACGCGAGGCCTAGCCTCCCTGTCCCCCAGGACGGGCCCAAGGCCCTGCCCGCCTGCAGCGGCCCCTCACTGAGCTCCTCGCACCCCTGTGAGCTGCACTGTCGCAGCCTGCGGAGGCCAGCGGGGCCTCGGGGGCTCAGCTCTCCCTCCCGCCGGAGCATCGGGGGCTACTAGCCGTCCTTTCAGTGACGGCGACCCGGAGATGAGGGGTGACCTGCTCGCCCACGACCACTCCAAACGGCATAAACAGGATTCCAGCTCGGGCAGCAGCGCCCAGGACCCGCAGCCGCTGCGATTCTACCCACGCGCTGTTTCTAGAGGCAGTGCACGATGCACGATGGCCAGGCTGCGCTCAACCGGGGCTGTCCCGCAGCACCACAGCAAGGGGCCTGGCCATGGGCCACGTGTGCGTGCTCCACGCCTGGGCTGTACCGTGTGCGTTTCAGGAGGAGGTACCCTGGAGACGGGCCGCATGTGCGTTTCACACCTGGGCTGTACTGTGTGTGTTTCAGGAGGAGGTACCCCGGAGACGGGCCGCATGTGCGTGTTTCTCACCTGGGCTGTACTGTGTGCGTTTCAGGAGGAGGTACCCTGGAGACGGGCCGCATGTGCGTTTCACACCTGGGCTGTACTGTGTGTGTTTCAGGAGGAGGTACCCCGGAGACGGGCCGCATGTGCGTGTTTCTCACCTGGGCTGTACTGTGTGCGTTTCAGGAGGAGGTACCCTGGAGACGGGCCGCATGTGCGTTTCACACCTGGGCTGTACTGTGTGTGTTTCAGGAGGAGGTACCCCGGAGACGGGCCGCATGTGCGTGTTTCTCACCTGGGCTGTACTGTGTGCGTTTCAGGAGGAGGTACCCTGGAGACGGGCCGCATGTGCGTTTCACACCTGGGCTGTACTGTGTGTGTTTCAGGAGGAGGTACCCCGGAGACGGGCCGCATGTGCGTGTTTCTCACCTGGGCTGTACTGTGTGCGTTTCAGGAGGAGGTACCCTGGAGACGGGCCGCATGTGCGTTTCACACCTGGGCTGTACTGTGTGTGTTTCAGGAGGAGGTACCCCGGAGACGGGCCGCATGTGCGTGTTTCTCACCTGGGCTGTACTGTGTGCGTTTCAGGAGGAGGTACCCTGGAGACGGGCCGCATGTGCGTTTCACACCTGGGCTGTACTGTGTGTGTTTCAGGAGGAGGTACCCCGGAGACGGGCCGCATGTGCGTGTTTCTCACCTGGGCTGTACTGTGTGCGTTTCAGGAGGAGGTACCCTGGAGATGGGCTGCATGAAGCCCTCTACGTCACACGTGCCCTCCACCGCGGCTGGAAGGGCATGTCACAGCACTTCTGTGATGCAGGTGTCAACAGTCAGAAGAGAACTTTCCACCCGTGAAGTCCCAGCACTCAAAACTCCCCCCCAGGTTT